CCCCAAAACCCCAAAACCCCAAAACCCCAAAACCCCAAAACCCCAAAACCCCTTAAAATATACAAAAAATTGAAAGAATTAACAGAACATCCAGCAATGGATAAATACTTTGACAACGAGATGTACGCTCTCTGGTTTAAATTTCTTTAGTATTATAGAAGAAGGGAATAGCGAGCATGCCCAAGATGATGAGCAAGTCAGTGTTGAAAAGACATTAGAAGGGCTACGAACTTGAGGTGAAGGGAGTAATAGTATTGAGAGCAATAGATGTAGTGACCATACTCCTTCTGCATCAACTTCCAAAGCTAGAGCTAATTCGAAAAGGAAGAGATCTTCCATTTCTAAGAATGTAGGCTTTGTATTTGACAAATAGACAATTGAAGGATCGTACTACTCACGTAATTCAAGCCAGAACCAGTCTTTACCAGCTGGAAAAAGCTTAGGTAAGCAGATAATGAAGAGAAAACTAAGCAAAAAGTCTCTAAAAGGAAGCTCTAATACTGTTATGTCCCTATCCAAGATGCAAAAATAGGCGAAGTTCTTTGAACTTTAAGCCTTCTCTGGGGCCTTTTGCAGGCCTTGGGGTGCTAAGCTATAAGAAAGGAGTTCCTCCGATGCACAATTATTTAAAAGCAAAGAACAATGCAAAGAAGTTTGTCAATCATCACATCGAAGGTCTTGAGAACAAACGGAATACTCAGAAGAAGCTGGAAAGAGGAATGAAGAAGACTCTCGGAGCCAGCCAGATCTCAAGCCTCTATGTCAAGCATGCAAACAGAGAGACACGTAGATGTTTCCATCACTGGAAAGACTTGTTCCAACAGGAACAAATTATAGAGAATATGTTCAGGTTTTACTCAAACAGAGTCGCTAATACTTTCAATAATGCTCCGGAAATTCCTTTAGAAGAGTATTCTGAGAAATAGGAAACAAATCGCATACCAAAATGCTGTTGAGAACAAATGAAGCCAACTAAAGAAGGTCATTGAGGAGCGACAGAAGAGTATTGTCAGTACACAAACACAGTTAGAGAAATCAAAGGAACAAGCTCATCTGCTCGACACGTATCTCAAGAAGCAAAATATGAATTTAAGAATTAATCTTCTGGTTAAATCTATGAAGGATGCCTTCCTCAGGCCTAAAAAGGAAGGGCTTAATGCACTTCAAAAATATAACAAAGAGGTGAAATTTCATACACTTGTGAAGTTATCGAATATCATGAATAAGGTAATTACCGGATATCTCTATTCTAACATTTAGAGGATCATTCTGAACGAGAAATTTATCAGATATACTTACTTCCATAGATGGAAGAATATTTCATTTGATGATTATGAGTTCACAATTGAGGGATTCATACAATCCCAGTTGAAAGCAACTGTTCCACATACAATATCCCTCGTTAAGGTCAAAGACAAGAATTTGGATTACCAGAGGCGACTTCAAGAGGAAAAAGAGAGAATTGAGCGAGAGCAAAGACAGCAAGAGCGAGATATCAACAGGAAGAAGAAGCAGAAGGCTGAGAAGATCAAAAATCTGTGATATAGCATGCTGACTGAGGCTTTACAAAATAGGGATCAAGGATAGATTTCAATATAGAAAAAATTGAAAGGGGTTTTGGGGTTTTGGGGTTTTGGGGGTTTTGGGG